GTGGTTTGTTATATTTGTTGATGATTGCACTCGAATGACTTGGATTTATTTGTTGAAACAAAAAATGAAGTGGTACACATATTTCAACAATTTCATAAAATGATTCAGACTTAATATTCAAAGAACATTAGGATCCTTCGCTCTGATAATGGTGGGGAGTTTGTAAATCCCCAATTCCATGAGTATTTCAAAAAAGACGGACTTATTCACGAAACCACGTGTCCACAAACTCCACAACAAAATGGTATTGCAAAACAGAAAAATCGCCATATCTTTGAAACTACTCGTGCTCTTTTAGGTGGAGCATATGTGCCTCACCACCATTGAACTGATGTTGTTACTACAGCAGTATATCTCATGAATTGGATTCCATCGAAGGTTCTTGAATTTAAAAATCCGCTGCAGCCCTTGTCCATGTTTGTACCGCTGCCTATAATACAAATGCTGCCACCTCGTGTCTTTGGGTGTGTTGCGTTTATTCACCTACATAAAAACCAGCGTACAAAGCTTGATCTGTGTGCCATCTGCTGCCTGTTTTTGGGATATGGTATACACCAGAAAGGGCATCACTGTTATGACCCTACTACTTGACGCATTTATGTAACTATGGATGTTACATTCTTAGAATTTGACCATTTCTACTCCTCGGCAGCACCCAATTCTTCTCTTCAGGTGGAGACACCAGAAGAAGAGTCGAATTGGTCAACATTTGACTGGTTCAAAGATATTGATATACCATCAACTGAAGTGGCTGGTGATTCGTGTCAAACTCAAACATACCATATGAGTCCTGAAGTTGAAGTATCGGAACCCCCCCTCCAGTACTCAACGATCCATCTCCTGAGAATATCATTGAGGTAAGCTCTCCTATATCTCCTGATAATAATAATAGTGATATCTATGTTAGCTATGAATTACCTCACAGGCATAATCGGGGAAAACCATCAAAGCATTACTCTCCTGAAGAAGAGGATCATAGATCAAGGTATCCAATTGCTAATTATGTCTCTATGAAGGAATTATCTGAACCTCTTAAGAAATTTGCAAATGAGTTATCTTCACACAGTGTACCTAGCAACGTTGAAGAGACCATTAAAGATACTAGATGGGTTCAAGCTATGAATGAAGAAATGGAGGCATTAAACAAGAATGCGACATGGACCCTTGTCCCTTTAGCAAAAGGAAAGAAACCAGTAGGGTGTAAGTGGGTTTTCTCTATCAAGTACAAAGCTGATGGGTCAATTGAAAGGTACAAAGCAAGATTAGTAGCTAAAGGCCTTACACAAACATATGGCATAGACTATCAAGAAACCTTTTCTCATGTTGCCAAGTTGAGCACTGTCAGAGTTCTTTTATCACTTACAGTAAATATTGATTGGCCATTGCATCAATTAGATGTGAAAAACTCATTTATCCATGGGCACTTAAAATAAGAAATATATATGAATATCCCTCCGGGATACATGACAAACTATGAGACTAAAGTGGTGTGTAAATTGCAACGCAGTTTGTATGGCTTGAAGCAATCTCCTAGAGCGTGGTTTGGGAGATTGAACCTGGCAATGACAAAGTATGGCTTCCAAAAAAGCAACGCAGATCATACGTTGTTTTTGAAACACCGTCAAGGTAAGGTCACAATTTTGATTGTGTATGTAAATGACATGATTATTACAGGAGATGACTCTGAGGAAATAGCAAAACTTCAAAAACAACTGGCAACTGAATTTGAGATGAAAAATCTAGGTGGACTCAAATATTTTCTAGGTATTGAAGTTGCTAGGTAAAAGAAAGGTATCTTTTTATCTCAATGAAAATATATCTTAGATCTTTTATCAGAAGTTGGGCTACTAGACTGTAAACCTGTAGATACTCCAATTGTGCAGAACCACTAACTTGGAGAATATCCAGACCAAGTGCCAACAAACAAAGGAAGGTACCAGAGATTGGTTGGCAAACTTATTTACTTATCTCATACACTACTTGATATAGCGTATGCGGTAAGTGTAGTAAGCAATTTATGCACAACCCAAGTAAAGATCACATAGACGCGGTAATTCGAATCATGCGGTACTTGAAGTCCTCGCATGGAAAAGGCTTGATGTTCACAAAGAATAATCATGTATAAGTTGAAGGCTATACAAACGCTGACTGGGCAGAAGATATCACCAACAGAAAATCCACCTCAGGCTATTTTACCTTTGTTGGAGAAAATTTGGTTACATGGAAAAGTAAGAAACAAAAGGTTGTAGCATTATCAAGTGCTGAAGCAGAGTTTCGAGGGATGGCTAAAGGTCTTTGTGAGCTTCTCTAGCTTCGAAGACTGTTAATTGAAATTAGCTTTGCTCCGAATAGTGCGATGAATCTTTTTTGTGACAACAAGTCTGCAATTGAAATTGCTCATAATCCGGTTCAACATGATTGAACAAAACACGTGGAAGTAGATCGACACTTTATTAAGCAAAATTTGGAGACCAAGATATTTCAATTTCCGTTTGTTAAATCTGAAGATCAATTAGTAAATATACTCACAAAAGTTGTATGTAGTAGAGACTTCTACAACGCACTTGACAAGTTGGACATTCGAGATATCTATGCACCAACTTTAGGGGGAGTGTTGGCGTTAGCTGTCAACAAAATTGTAGGAACTATAATAGGAATATAGTTATTCATGGTTAATTACTCTAATTTGGTTATAATTATTCTGATTTAGTTATAATTAGAAATATGATTTTCTGTGTATATAAATATAACCAATTTCCGTTTGTAATACACAATAGAAATATATGAAAGTATTATATCAGTTTAACATCATCTTCTCCTCAGAGTTTGTCTTTTTTCGATTAACTTTTTGTCACTCCATATTTGTGGACCTCGTTAAAGCTTAGATTAGATTGATAAAATATTTTAGCCTAATTATCCAAGATCAAATTAAATTACATATGATTTTATTTTTAAATTAGATGATTTTTTTTTCTCAAAACCAAACATAAGTACAATACAAACACTCCTACCACAAATAATTGACATATTTTAATATAGAAAGAATCATAAAATGTTATCTTTTGGCTATTATTTAATTGAAATTATTGTGACTACCTATTTTGTAGGCTTAATTGTAACTTAAATTAAGGTGCAATGACTTTGACAGTTAGAAAACAGATCTATACGTTGTAAAGCTAATTGAATTTACATTTTAGTCATGCTAACAAAATTGACATGTTACTAAGAATGTAATATTTTTAAAATAATAACAAAAAAATCACAAATAATTGTTTCCTAGAAGGAAGCAAAGGAAAGAGTCAAAAGTAAAATGGAAGAAATTTTTTTTTCTAACAGAGAATCAAGAAACTTATTCATGTGAGGCCACCATATCATATCAAAACTTCATTGTTACTAACATTCAATACTCCAATGACTACAATGTGACAAAGTATGACACAAGCATTTACTACTATACTTTTACTAATTGCTTTCTTAAAAGAATCCTAATCCCTAGAAACTTTTCTTAATATCATACTATTAGGTAAATTGTAAACCCTATCATCATAATCTTGTAACCAAATTATTTAGTCATGCAAAAGCTGAAATTAGAAATGACGAAATCAATCTGATCCGTTGAACATGTTTATTTTCTCGTTTGTTTAGAAGAAGAAATTTCAAAATTTCACCCTCGTTTATTTTCTCATTTGTCATTATTAAAATGTTTTTTTTACTTTATAAATTATTTTTAATATTAAGTAGTATAAAAGATATTTGTTTAAGAGATTGTCCACAAAAATCATAACCACATAAATGTAAGATCCTATATGATCAAGCATTAACACAAAAGAGTAAATGCCATTAATTGCATTACATAAGCCGTTTCATTTGGAATAGTAATGATCACATAGGATTCTTATAAGTATTTAATAATGAAGGATTTGAATTTGGCTTAATATGGTGTGTGTGGTGGGACCTATTATATGGTTGGAATATATTTGTCACAATCAATCAAATTTCTTAATATTCATTATAAAGAGATTTTTACTTCTTGTAGTATATTAGATTGATTTGCTTTGCATTGACAATTTTAAATTCAAAAACTTGATCAAAATTAATTTAAAGATTCACATGTATTCTCTTAATGACATAGACTCTTTGAAAATGTCACATTTTGAGTTAGATCCTCTCTTTAAAAAAATGATATTTTTGATAACTCTCATTTTTCACAAATTAATAACTAATTTATACTTTTTTTAATGCTAATTTAAGTAGGTTATAATATTTTATATGCTAATTTAAGTAGGTTATAAATTTTTACATGCTCTTCAATTCATATTCTTCAATGGCTTTTTTTTTCTACTATTAAAATGAAGAGCATGTAATAAAAGTACAAACACAAGTAGTGTTTTCATCAAAATTTGTTAGCTTTTTTTAACTAACTCTACCTACAACAATTTCATAGCCTTTTACCTTGTCACATAAACAAAAATAGAGCATTGAAGTATAAACATTACCTTCTCATATTAAATCCTTTTATACCTTTTGAGCATACCAATTTAGGTATAGAGAAGAAACATAAAAATAACTTAGCTCAAAAAATAGAAACAAAAATAACTAAACATTCATCAAAATATTAAGAATTGCACAAATATCAATATCCAAGAACACAATACTATAATGTTACACAAAAATACTCACATGGAAATCAGCACACAATTCCAAAACATCACCTTCACTATGACCTATAACCTCAATCACACTCCATGCATAATTATTAAAATTAAAAATAATAAAATAAAACATCTCATTAATATTAAGAAAAAAACACAACTAAACTAAATAATCTAGTATAATAAAAAAGTACTTAAAATTTCTAAGATATGTAAATATTGAAACTGAAAATTTTCATTTATACATAGGTTCTTCAAAGAGAAATATAACAATAACAATCTAATAACCTCATCATCATGAACCCTAATTTTCAAAGTTTGTTAGTAGAATAAAAAACCTCAAACAAATCAAACACTCTTCTCAACACGAAGCTTGAACACTGTTTCCAAATCAGGAGGTGTGAAAAACTCTCTAACACCACCGCCGACAACAACATTGTTACATCTCGAAATTCTCTGTTTCCTCGGTGCCGGTGGACACGACAAGTTCATCGGAATCCTCGCTTCCTTCGCCGTCGGTGTTGTCGAACCTTCTTCATCTTCAAAGACAGCATCTTTATTAGAACTCACCTTTGTGTTTATGGGTTTCAATGACAGGAGAGAAATTCCAGCGATTACCCATTTTTTGGATTCGGATTCTAAATTATTCTCAATTTGTGATTTCTTTGAGAACCCCATTTTTTATCAGAGATAAAAATGTAACCTTTTTGTTGTGGGTGTAAGGGATTCAAAGAGAATCAAATTGGGGTTTGGGGAATTTGTGAAAAGATTGTGTTTTTAGTGAGAGAAACTCAAAGGGTTGTTGAAAAATTGAATTTTTATGAGAATCAGAATGAAAAAGAAATTGATGCTAGAGGAACAAGAAGAAGGAATAAGAGAAAAGGGTTGTCTTAGGTTGTTGTTTTTAGAGAGAGAAATAGAGATGAAAAGTTTGAAGATGGAAAGGAATGGAAGGAAAGAGAGAGAAATAGAAATAAAAAGAGAGAGAGAAGATTTTCGTGGGAAAATTGTGGAAAGTGAGAGAAAATTAAAAGGGGGAGAAAGAGAAGAGAGAAGCTGCCCGAGATTTTACGGGCAGGGGAAGTGAAATTTGGGCGCCAAAATTTCGTTGAATTTGTAGCAACGGCTCTAATTCCCGCTCATTGGTTTTTATATGTGAAATGACGACTTTGCCCTTTGTTGTATTTTGATTATTTTAGTAAATGAATAATGATAAATAATTTTCTGGGGAGTGATGTTTGGGCACGTGGTTGGCGCGTGATAGGGACGTGCAACGTCGTTTTTGTATGATGACTTAATTTAGTACTACTATAAAGTTTGTATTATTATGTTTAGTTTTGGTGCATGTATTTTATCGTATTATGTTATAATATTAACTAAAAAATAAATATTATTATTGCTTGCAAACACTATTATTTGTAATTGAAAAATAAAAATACATGTTTAAATTTTGATTGGACGAGTAAATATAATTTAGATAATATATAATATATAAATTTAATTGAAATGTATTAAAATAGTGTAGGCTGTCAACCCATTACAATTACTGATTTGTCAAAAAAATTTATTTTTTATTATAATCACATTTAAAATAATATATAAGTATTTTATTATTTTTAGAAAAAAGGAAATTACAGTTACCTCTCATGAAACCTATTAAAATGGCATTGAAATTTTCGCATATTTTGAAAATACACTCTTTTGGCTGAGGTTTATAAAAACAACATTGATTTCCCTGTACTCTATAATGACTGCCAAGAATCATAGATGATATTTATTTATAATTTTTTATTGGTCACCCAAAACTTATATCAGTATATGTAGAATTAAGGGAAGGTAAAACATATTTCAAAATACTCCTAATAATATACAGGTGTGGATATCAAACAAATACACATGCACTTGCCTTATACTGCAAAGCAAAAATTCAAGATAAAGTATCCCATGTAACAAAGACATTAATTAATTCGTTATACTATTTATTTCATTTGATGTTTGCATTTTCGTAGACAAGAATGAAAATGTGAATTTTTTTTATAATAACCATCTATTGTTTATCAATTACCATAAAAACCAGCGTATTAAAAAATTATTTAAAATGGTTATGAAATCAACTTTCTGTCGCCGGATGAAATGGCGACAGAGTATATTCTGAAGCGAGGTCGCCATTGTGATTGGCGACAATGTTGTTTTGGAAGCAAATCACCATGTTGATTGACGACACAGGCCATATTAGGGTTTTATTTTTTTTGTTTTTAAAATGAAGTATTACTAAATAATAATTAAAACATAAATTTTTTTTTAATAAACACATAAATATTAAATAATTATTATGATTAATTCTTAAATTAATTTTTTTAAATAATAAACACAATTATTATTAATATTTTTAATTTTTTCATGTAATGTTAAAATAAAGTTTTAGTAAAAATAATTAATAAACTTAAAATAATTAATAAACTTAAAATAATTAGGTTTAAATAAAAATAATCTTAAATTAATTTTAATAAATTTAGGTTTAATTAAAAATAAACTTAAATTGATTTTATAAATTTAGGTTTAATAAATATTATTTTTATATATTTAGGTTTAATATAAATATAATTGTGATTTAAATTGATTTAAATTGTAAATTTTAAAACATAAAAATTGATTAACCATTGAATTTTATAGTGTATAAAGTTTGTAAGGGTATTTCAGACATATCATATGAGTCACGTACTATATTATTTTTCTATAAATACGACTGCAAACACATATATGTTTTCAGAATATTGTATACCAAAAGACTGAAGCGTTAGTGCATTTTGAGTGGAGTGGAGTCTAGAATGTCTGCATTTCTAAATCAACGTTCTTCGTCGTCGTCATCAGCATCGGAGGAACCCTTTCCAACATTCGATCTAATGAAAAGAAATGGTGTAGTTGTCTTTTCAGCAACAAAGTCTCTGATGAAGGTGCTCCTATGGAATACGCAGACGTTGGAGCACTTGCACAGGGAACTGAACCGCTGGCTAGAAAGAGATATTGGTCCAGGAGAAAAGATTAGGAAAATTGAGAGGTTGGTCGAGGAGACTGGGAGAAACGGAGTTACTCGTGAATGGAGAAAAGTGGAAAATGATGTCGGTGTCCTTGTGATGATGTTAACACCAAAGAAGATAACGTTGATGGTCGTGATATCGTAGACGCCTTGGTGCAGTGTTTTGTTTTATGTCTTTATGTTGTTTTTATGTTTGTTTAATTTATGTTGCTTGCTAATTGTAATCAATTAAGTATGCTTTTAATCAAAGGAAATTCGTTATTTATTTAAAGGGACACGGTTACATATGAAACTATCTGTTGCTTGATCCAACGTTAGGAAATTTTGTACGATTGTGTCCTGGTTGCCGACACGAACTACATAATCTCACCAGCTTGTCTGCGGTATCCATCTCCGTTCGAATGCGCGTGCTGTTAGGCCGACCCTTTTTCTTTATGTGCATCAAGTCATTATGCCAAACAATTTCGCCTTCGTATTGAGGCCAATAGTCCTCCTTTTCCACCACCTCAAAGATACATGTGTAGACATTGCATAGACTTATCACTTGGTGAACCGCAGAAAGAAGGTTGGTTGGGTCCTGGCGCGCCTTCGAACATGCTGCTATAACATGAGAGCAAGGCATACAGAATGCTTGAAACTTTCCACAATCACACCAGCTCTTATCCAATTCCACACGGTAACATCCCCTAGGCCTTCCTTCGTTGTGATCAATAGACTCAGCAACACTGAACCAACCAGTTGTACGGTCAAAGATTGTGACCACGTGTGTGTTGGCTTTGGCAGCTTCCTCTTTCATGAATTTCATTGAAGTATCGTTGTACAACTGACCCGATTGTAATATTGAACCCCACTTCGTACGTCTGCTATCAAAGAGTGATCCTAGCCTAAAATAGGTTGCCTTTACCAAGGCAGTTATTGGAAGGTTTCAGATTCCCTTGAAAACAAAATTCATTGATTCGACGAGGTTAGTTGTCATGTGTCCCCATCGCACCCCATTGTCGTATGCCCGCGTCCATTTCTCCCTATCAATGTTACCAATCCATCTTAATGCATCCGCGTTTGTTAGTCTGATCTCGTCAGGTAGTATTTGAATGTGGGTTCTGTTTGTGCATATCCTGCGTTCACAACCTTCTTCCGTAGCATCTTGTCTTTGATTTCCCGCATGAAATTTTAGGCGATATGCCTTATGCAATAGACGTGGGTCGAGGGAGGATCCTGCCAACCGTTATCAAGGTTGTTGTATGCACTCTCAATTGATGGGTGTCGATCATAGATCAAACATAAGTTAGGTTGGGGAGAAACATAAGAGCGGAGATTTTTTAAGAAAAAACTCCAACCCCCAGCAGTCTCCCCTTCTACTATAGCGAATGCTATTGGAAAAATGTTGTTGTTCCCGTCCTGTGCCACAACCATGAGAAGTGTGCCCTTATATTTCCCGTATAACCATATTCCGTCAATTTGAATTATAGGTTTATAATATGCAAACCCTTTAATGCATGGTTCAAACGCCCAAAAGACTCTGTGAAAAATTCCATTTCCACCAACACAAGTCCCGTCTGGTGTACACGCAGGCATTGTCTCTAATATCGCAACAATTCCTGGAGAGTAGTGTTTAAGAGCCACCAGGAATTTTGGAAGTTCCTTGTACGACTCCTCCCAATTCCCAAACACCCTTTCAACCGCTTTAGTCCTGGCAATCCAGGCTTTTTGGTATGAAGGAGTGTAATTGTACCTTTGAACCATATGTGCAATTATGGTACTCACCTTCAAAGACGGGTTGTCGCTAACGACTGACAGAATCTCATCGCAAATCAATCGAGACCTGAGCTTGCGATGGTCTTGCATTGGATTCGAGATTATACAACTGTGGGCTGGACCCATTGACCATATCTTCCAGGAATCACTTCTCTTCCTAAAAGACGATGTTAATCAGAACGGGCACTCCTCGTTACGATAATAGATCATATACCGCGTCGGATTTGTTCGATCGACTCTATAATCGGATGACAACTCCATGTGAAACTGTTTGATTGCCCGAACACAATCTTCTTTGGTACGAAACTCGTCACCCTCTTTTAGTTGCCCTTCTATTGTGTAGTTGGGGTTGTAGAAAACATCCTTTGAGGGTTCATCGTCACCTAAGTCGAGAGTTGTCATGTGTTGAGGTGGGCAATAAACATTGTCGGGTGGAACCCGATCCTCCTGGTTGTTCACCATCTCGTCAATAGTGACTTCAGTTGCTTTTTCTTCTTCGCCAACGATATTGACTTCAACGTGTTCCTCGTCAGAATCGCAAAAAACTTGAGAAGAATCAAGTTGCTGAGACAGTTGTTGTTGTTGTAACGTAACATATAACACAATATCTGAGAAACCAGAATACTCGTGACTGTAGAACATGTTACGCACATCTTCATCATCTCGCACCATTAACGGGAAAAATTTGCATTCAACATGGCCGCCAAAAAACACTAGGTTTTTGTATATTATTTGCCCAATTAGACCACATTGCAGTTTTTTTTCTATTCTTGACTTCAGGTGTAAAAAATTAGACCTTCTGTCAATTAAAAATCTTGTAACGTCAGTGTTTTTGAAATTGTAACCCGATATTTCACTTTCGAAAACTTCACCTTTAAGATGTGCG